ATAGCAACACGTTCAAGTTAAATACTCCCCTGTCAGGGGCAGGCTGAGGAGGGTGGGGGTCAGGCTCTGCCCCCACAGCAAGGATGGTTTGGCCGGAGGGGCAGAGGAGGTCCGAGGCTCGGGGTCAGATCAACGTGCCAGCTTGGGTCCATACAAACACAAGAAGCCTTTCAAAAGAACTGTTCCTTTTCTCTCTGGCCGCAGAGCCGCAGTCCACATGGAGCAGGGCGGACACACTCCTGTGTCCTCCTAACGCTCAGTGCTGGGACAGATTCCCCCCCCCCCCCGACTCCTGGCACAGCTGCCAGGGTCCCGCAGCAGCGGTGACTCCCAGCCTATGGTGCAAACAAGCCGCTCCATTCCCCACTGGGCAGGCAACTCCTTCTGCTCATTAACCCGGTCATGTTTGAGGAATCCATCGAGCCCATCAGCCGCACCCAAGCGACCAGCTGTGGCTAGCACACGTTCTTCAAAGCTGGTTAGAACAGTTTTGGACATAGTGTAGCAGCCCCTACTTTCCATTGCCCACCCCGTGCCAAACACACCAGTTGCTTTGCTTTGTAATGTAGTTACCGAGAAAGGCCAGCTCAGATGGACACCAGGAGCTGGAGGCTCAAAACTAGATTAGAAAATCCATTACTCACCTCTATCTCTAGCTCTCGGCTTTAAGACCTAGACCTCACCACTTCCTAAATGGAAACTAAGTGCAGTGCCAGTGTCACATGAGAGCCCGACAGTGACTAATAATTGGTGGTAACAGAAATGTCTGTTCAGATCTGCTTGATTTACCAGAGTGAGCAGAATCATGGTAACTTGAATTCATAGACTGTTCTTTACACTGGGATTTACCACTGACCATATTTGGCTCACTCAAACCTCCCCAGTAGCTACTGTGTTACTCTTCACATTCTGTCCTGAACTGCTGTGTTACTAGTTACTGTCTGCTGTTAAAGAGCTGCTGCATTTCACCCCAGAAATGGCTGCATTCCAAAACCTGCATTGTCCCCATTTTCTTCTGTTTAATCCATTCTGTGCATGAGCTGTTTTGGCCAAAAGTGTGGGTTTGGAAATATTTAAGCTGGGGCTAGTCACTCCACTAAACCTGCCCAATTGGAGTCAAGTTTTATCTCTTCCTCTATTACTAGTATAGGAAAATTGAAATTCTTGTATGAATTTGAGTAATATTGGGTACAAGTCAGCCACCAATGAACATAACAGACAGCTTATACTAACTGTATAGACAAATGAAATATATTGATCTTATCTATTTTGCTGATATTTATACTGCTGAATATCATTTTCTGTACTCATTTTGACACAGCACAATACCTTTCACTTTCTATAATGTGTATTTTAAAACAGGAACTGACACTTGAAACAGACTCATCCTACCTGTAAATTTGGGAGGTAAGCATGCACGTACACACACCCACACACCTTTCTGTGAATTGCCTTGAGGCAATTATGGGAGCCAGTCATACACAATAATTGCCAGGTACAGAGCGAGAACTCCTTGTATCATGAAATGTTAATATAAAACCAGATGTAATTAGTATTTAAGGTGTCCAAGATAGTAACATGCACCTGGATGTGCTCCACATGATGCCACAGTATGCACTTGCTGGGAGTATGCACTCTAGATTTCCTACAAAAAGGTTTCCTTATTGTAGGCAAGTGTCAAACATTTCCCTGCACAAAGGCCTATATCTTAGCATCAGTTCTTTAAATGAACCTTCCTTTTATTTCAGTGAGAATTTCCTGAGCAGAAAGGTGCAGTTTATGGTCCAAACTAAGATTTAAATTCTGCTCATATTTGAATATAATTTTTAAATTATGTTGAAATCTGACACTAAATTTTACTTTTTTCTTTTCAAAGCTCAAGGTTTAAGGATGGGCTTTATGTTGGACATCAAGGGAAATGTGACAACCCTCTGTCACTTCTCTTTGTAGGGCAAGGCCTCAAGGTATCTTGTATGTCAGTACCTGTAGTAGTAGACTTACTCTTTCCTGGCTGCCTCTCAAAAAGTTGCACTTTGTGTATGTGACAAAATAACTTTCTCTTACAATGAATTATTTCTATGTGGGATGGAATACATTCTTTGAGGGTATTAAACACACTGCACCCAAGGCATGTAAATGAATGACTATATTTTATCAATGGAAGCACTCTTATGGCAGCAAATGGTAAATTATTGAAGGGTAAGACAAACCCACTGGCTAGCACAGAAGTCAACAGTGTAGCAGGCAGGAGCTGTCAAAAAGGGGAGTGGGCAGCAGCAGGGAAATGGGGGTAGGGAGCCTATTCACACCACATGTCTGGGACTTGGGAACCATCTGTATCCATGGGCCTGACTCCTCACTGCTGCTTGCGCCATGTGCTGCTATTGACTCGAGTGTAAATGCTACCAAAGCAGAATTCTCCATTCACAGACCTCAATGATAGCGCTTTAAAGCCACTTTTCACAGGTAATCACTGCAGAGCGTGTAGAGAATCAGACCCCCTGTTAGTCTGTCCTTCCAAACACTGCCCCCTGCGGGAAGGAATGTCTTTATAGCAGCCTGCACACACCACCTTGTTGCCTTCCGGTTGCAGCCTACAGATGATATAAGGAGCAATAGCCACATAATTTGGCTAGAGAACTGAACTCTGTTCTGAACTCTCCAGCACTGTTTACCCAAGAACAATCAGCCCAGGTATGTGAATGCTTACAAAACCCCTCTGCATTCGGTGTGCCTTCTTCTACCATCTCCCTCAGTCCCTGGGACATGCCCCAACTTAAATCTTACTTGTAGGGTGGCCTTTTCCCAAGGCCATCAGAGGTTGGCAACTTGATCTTGTTTAGAACCTGGACTTCCAAGCAAACTAACTATTTATCATGCCCTGCCTTAGAGCTTTGTGGGAACCAGAATTTCCATTTCACAGGAAATTCTGCATTTTTGACATTTGTTTTCATTCCTCGTTGGCACAAAAATTTACCATGAAATGAAATTTTTTTGGGGGGGAGGGAATACTTTTGTTTCTATCAAAATATTTTGATTCAATTTTGACTTTCATATCTTTTTAATTTATAATATAAAGTAAATGTCATGATGCAGAGTCTTCAACATAATCAAAATGCTCCATTTCTAATGTATCAAAACATAATTTCATTGACATCGACATGTTCCCCAGGAAAGTTTCAATTTCAGCGAAATGGTAATTTTCCAACAAAAAATTGCCCCCGAGGAAAATTTTCAAGCAGATCCACCCTGCTGGGTTTTGTTCAGGAGCCCCTTGTAAATTGAACCCCTCCAATGTTTGTCCAGCCCTAGATAAAACCCTATGGGAGGCAGGTGAAAGGAAGAGACAGAATGATGAAGAGAAGGGAAAGGGCGCTGTAGAGGAGCAGTGCCTTAATCTTAGTGGTAAGAAAACAGGAGGCATTTGAATTATGGTGCCATAATTCCATCCAGTGATTCTGGTGAATTGAGCTTTTCTCCAACCTCAACCCCATAATTTATGTATCCATTGGTTAGCCTATAACATGATTTCTCATGTTGTGATTAAGTGGTTTTCTAATATTCCAGTATGTCATGATCTCACCATTCCAAATGAGTTCAGGAAATCTCCCAAATATACAGAAGGAATGTGGATAGCCAGGGAAGGTCAGTTACAATAACAAGTTAGTTCTGCATGTACATTTTAAATATAAGAGGTTTTGTTTAGCTCTCAAACAAAAGCTTAAGTGTTTCTCTTTTTTCTCCTGCAAAGCTGTTGAACTCCTAAGAACATATTGGCAGTCACTGATATTTTAGTAATCTGATTTTAGTAATAGCAAGAAAAAATGCTGACCTGCCAGATGCATTTCCGTATGTGCATGGAATGCTCACAGAATCAGGTGCACTGGTTTATTTGTTTGAAATAATAATTTCCCCACAGAAGGAACATGGAAATGGAAGCCTAGTTGTTGCCAGGAACCTAGTCACATGGGTATGAGGAGGGATGTCAGCATACAGCTTTTTTCCTTTAAAAAAAAATCACTAAATCCCACACTTTAGGCTTCCTTCTAGGTTAAGTTGACATCACTCATCCATGGCATTACAAGCAATGTCAGGGGGAGAGGTCCTATGACAATCTTGTTCCAAATGAAATCCCCCATCTACTCTCACATTAAAAATAAAAGCCCAGCTATGCAAAGGATCTCAGCATCCATTGCTTTTAAAAATGATACCCAAATCACTCCTTTCAGGATCACTATGATGCAATTCATGCCAGCTCCTTGGGCAATGTGGGGACTGAATGACCAGGGAAGAAAACATCCCCCCCCATCACAAAGCTATAAAGAGGGACATCTGTGGCAAAAGGCAAGGATGATGCTGGCCTACTCAGCTGCAAAGCATTATGCAGAAGGAGAGTTATTTCAAAAACAAACAGGGATGGTGCATCCTCCCTGAGGAAGGGAGTGGGTTTTCAACCTGCTTGCCCTTGTACAGGAGATGATCCTTGGGGGAAGGCCTAGGTAGGTGGGTTGTAGAGGCGTAGCAAGCACCCTCCATACCCTCTGACCGGAGAGGGCCCCGCAACAAAGAGGGCCCCTAAAAGTGGCAAAATAAATACCACATTCCAGTTTTTGCATTGTAAGGGCCCCCGCCCGGACATACGTTCGGAGGGGGGCACGTTCTTTGTTGCTACGGCCCTGGTGGGTTGGGAAACATACACGTAGGGCTGCCTGGAGGGAATGTTCTGCCTTTTTTCCCGCCCACCCCCAGTGCTCTCCACACTAGCTATGTCCCCTTAATGCAGACCCCAGCAGAGCACCCAGGCCCTAGCACCCCCAGCAGAGCAGAGGAACCGTGCCCCGCGCCCTCATTCACCAGCGGGAGCAGCGCCGCCCCCTCCGCTCCGCCTGGCTGGCTTTTATGAATGGAGGCGGGCGGGCGGTGACGTGGCGCGGGCGAGCCCCGCGCTCCATTCAGCAGGCGGCGCGCGGCGGCGGGGCGGGGCCGGGCGCTGTAAAGGGCCGGGCCGGGCCCGCGCGCTCTGTGTGGGCTGCCAGCCGGCCCGCCATGGGGGAGCTGCGCGAGGTGGAGGGCAGCGCGCTGCGGCGGCTCTTGCGCCGCGAGCCGGGCGGGCCGGGCCCCGGGCGCTGCCTGCTGCTGGACTGCCGGCCCTTCCTGGCCCACAGCGCCGGCTACATCCGCGGCGCGCTCAACGTGCGCTGCAACAGCATCGTGCGGCGCCGCGCCAAGGGCGCCGTCAGCCTGGAGCAGATCCTGCCGGCCGAGGCCGAGGTGCGCACCCGCCTGCGCTCCGGCCTCTACTCCGCCGTGGTGGTGTACGACGAGCGCAGCGTCCGCGCCGAGAGCCTGCGGGAGGACAGCACTGTCTGGCTGGTGGTGCGGGCGCTGCGGCGCGACACGGCGCGCACCGACATCCGCCTGCTCAAAGGTGCGCACGGGCTGGGGGGCGTGCCGGGGGGGGAGCTCCGCGCATGGGGGGCTGGGTGAGTGTGTGGGGGGAGCGCCGCGC